GCCCTCACCACGTCCCTCACATTCACTTTCGGGCGCAGTAGCCGGTATGTATCTTTTATAGAGGCTGAACAGCTGTTTGTTTGACGTGACCGACGGTCGATGTTTGGGCCTCTAGTGCCATTCCATCGGATCGAGGGGGAGTTCTTCCAGAGGTGTTTCTGGTTGAAAGGCGACCCATAGGTCCTTCGACTTCATCACGCGAATTTTGTGCACCTCCACATTCTTACACTACCTCACCACCTTCGGGGTGTACTTAGAAAGGACATTGTCCTTCACTTTGTGGAGGAGGCTGACCAGGGATTCATCAGCCCGTACTTCCACCACACAGCCCACACTCTCAGTCTCTCTCGGGATCACAACCCAGTCCCCTTCTATCAGTCGAGGCCCCTTACGCAAAATGCGGGCCCAATCAAGAGGGACCGCAAAAATCAGTTCATCCAGGTTTCTCTCAATATCATGACAATACCTCAGGGTGACCCTCAATTGCAGTGCTGTTTTCCAGTTTTTGTTCTCTAGGTCGCATAGATCCTTTATCCTGACTATACCTTTTTTAACCCAGCTATTCCATGGGGAATTAGAGCTGCGGTACACCCTCCCGTTTCCATCAGTGATGTTTCTATTGCCGAAGAGGGGTTGTCGCATCACCTCTTCCCAGGTGGTTGGCAGGGTTTTATATGGCAACGGCAACTGACGCCAGGCTTTAAGAATCCGGGGTCAGAAGTCATCCCTACGCAGGTCGCTTCTTGCGGCGTCCCGGCCTGAACCCTTGATGGTGTGGGAGCACCGCGGTATAGACCAATAGCGGTCTTCCAACCAAGTCCAGGGGTACACACTTTGCGGAGCCTGCGGGGCTAATCGGGCGATCTGTTCCGCGGCAAGGGAGGTCCATGGTAAGTCCGGTGTGAACAGCATTCTCCTCACCCATTGTATCCGCAAGGCCGTGACCTGGATGTCGGGGTCAAGGATCCCCAGACCCCTTTTGTCCTTGGGCCGGATCACCGAGGACCAGGCCACCCGGCTAGCGACATTTGGCAACTGGTTGTTTCCTCTCCACAACAGGGCGGTTGCTTGCCTTTTAAGGGATTTAACTGCTTCCATGCTCAGGGCCCAAATTGTGGACTTGTACCAGAGAGCTGCCAACACCGAGTTGTTAATTGCAAGCGCCCTGCCAATTAGCGATGTATGTTTGTCGTTCCATTGCATTCATTTCTGCAATGCCGGTTTCAGGACCCAGTCATCGTTCGATGCTGGTCGTCCCTGCGCCGTCAGCATTATTCCCAAGACTCTGACCGGGGCCTCCTCTGGTAGCCATTTAACCTGTGGCAGCTCCGGGGGGCATGCCCCTTGATGGTGGATCCACCACCCCAGCGTTTTGTTGCCCCAATTAACGGTCATGTCTGAGACAGCCGTGAACCTTTCCAACAACTTCCTTATTTCTTCCATGTTCTCAGAGGTGGCGTCCACCATAATAGTCAAGTCATCCACGAACATTGAACAGATGGGGATCGCCTCTTTGGGGATAACCGAGATTTGTAGTTTAGTTAGATCTTGGTGGGCCTGGAGGTTTGCCGCCAATGCCTCCATCACAATGATGAAGAGGAAGGGGGCCAAGGGGTCTCCTTGGCGCACCAACCGCTGTAACGAGATTGTCGGTGCTAGAAGGCCATTGACCTGAACTGATGTAGTAGCGTTGTGGTGCAAGATCTGGATCCAGCGCCGAAAGGCCGGGCCGATATTCATTTTGTGCATGCATTTATCCAGAAACAGCCAATCCACGGGGTCGTATGCTTTTTCAAAGTCGATGAAGACTATGGCTGCATTTTGTTTGTCTTGTCTAGACAACTTGAGAAGTCCATTAACTAGCAAAATATTATCTTGGATTTGACGCCCCTTGACAAACCCCGTTTGTGTCAGATGAATAAGGTCCTCCAGGACTGGGATCAGGCGGTTTGCCAGTGCTTTCGCCAGCATTTTATTGACGACCGTGAGTAAGGTTATCGGGCGGTAGTTTCTAATATCCATTCTCTCCCCTTTTTTGTGCAACAAGGTGAGAACCCCTTGTCCTACCAGTTCGCCCATGTGGCCTGACTCCCACACCTGATGGTAAAAATTTATGAGATCCGAGGCCATTTGGCTCCAGAATGTCTTCCAGAATTCTTTCGGGAGCCCGTCCACCCCCGGAGTTTTTTCCTCTTCCATTTGCATTAAAGCCGTCCAGATTTCTGCCTGTGACAGCGGGCGGTCAAGTTGGTCCCTTTGTGAAGGGGTCAAGGTTTTTGTCATCGGGTTTAGGAAGTCTGCGATCTCTGCCTCTCTGGCCGCCCCCTCCTTTTGCGCGCACCTTGAGGTGAACAGGTCTTTAAAGAAGTTCCTCGCAATTTTCATGCATTGGGCGGTGGAGGTGACCACCTCCCTGTCGGTTGACGGTGGGTCATATACTGCTTCTATGACGGTCCTTCGGGAGCACGCCCGGGCCATACTGAAAAACTTCTTGTCCATTGACTCTTCCGTCTGGTGATGGGTCAACCGCCCCCTGATGCGTGTGCCTTCCCATCGATGTATAGCGAAGTTGTGGAGTTGTTGTTGCAGGGAGTGCAATTGCGAATCGTGTGTGTGTATTTGCGATGGTGTGTGCGAGCCCTTTGAAGAGGTCTGTTGTTCAAGTTGGTGATATTGGTGATGTATTTCCATTTCCTGTCGGTTTCTACGGATTGCCAGAATCTGAGAGTATTCTTTGCATTTTTTACCTAAGTAAAACAAGCCATTGTTTTGTCTGACTCCTGCTGAAAGTGTTGTTTTTGGTTCCGCCAAAATGCCCAGCAGTCTGTAATGTAGGTTTGGAAGGATTTGTGTTGCAAGATGGATGTGTTAAGTTTGTAAAAACCGGGGCCTTGGTCGGGTTTCTTGCGGAAGGACATAATTATGGTGCACATCTTGTGATCAAGCCCCGGGTGCGGTCTCGCGGGGAGGATCCCTGCAAGGAGCAACGAGCCCCCCATGTCTTCAGGGATTAATATCAGGTCTATTCTGGATTTGGACTGACTTTCGGTCCCGACTTTCCTCAGGCAAGAATAATATCGCATGTCAGGGTTGAGCTTGCTGAAAGAGTCAAACACATTTAGCGAGAGACATAACTCCCTGATCATCCGCTCATCCTCCTCCACATATGTCGGTGCGGGGGAGGGTATCTTCCATCTGTCCATCCGTCTATCCGGGGCTGCATTGCAATCACCCGCTACGATGACCGGGACACCGTCGGGGATTTGTCTTCAGATTTTCAAAGAACACCCTCCTCTCCCCTACCGTATTGGGGGCGTAGACGCACAGGATACAAAGTATTTCCAGTTTCAATGTTACTAGAACCGATACCCATCTGCCTTCTTCCCGGTCCACCACCCAGTGAACCGGTTCTGCGCGGGACTCCGGAGGAACCCGAATTGCCACCCCGACGCTACCAGGTTTTGGTGCGTGTGCTCTGAATGTTGTGTGTGGCCACAGTGTCTTATGAATGGGGTTATGTTCCGAGGTGTCCATGAGGTGTGTCTCTTGGATGCATACTATATCCGGCCATCTCCTGCCTCCCACCCCTCTTATCGGATCCCATATTGCATTTTGTTTATCTATTCGTCCCGAAGCCAGGCCGTTTACATTCAGGGATCGTAGATCCAAGTCTGTTGCTCGCTGGCATTGGTTCCAGATTCTGTCTTTCCCATATACCTCCTTGACTGGGTCCATTGTGTGGAGGTTTTTATTTTGCTAGGCCTACCCACGGTAATCGATCCCAGTCCCACGCTGTTTCCCCTGCCCGAAGACCCAGCCTGAGGAGAGCACATAAGCATGTCTGAACATCCTGCTCCGTCCAGGTCTCATTGGACCTGAGTTTTTTTTTTTGTTTTTTTTTTTTATGTAACCACCCGTCAATGCTAGTGGTGCTGGTAAGAGCAGACACCACTAGCACCTAGGGGGGGCTCCATCTATTGGTGGGGAGCAGCACTTGCTGGAAACCGGGCCCAGCATCCCTTACATAGACAAGGTTCAAGTCACATTAAGTCACCTCAGAAAAGTGCGATATGATCCTGCCAGCATTGATTACCCTAAGAACCAGGGGATTGACTGAGCAGGAGATTGGGAGGGGGGAGCCTCTTCACCCTAATTCTGGCGCCACATAACTGCTATGTCTTCCTGGCTCCCCCACTTCCAAATTTAGAAAAACAGCTGCTGGTCTCAAAAGGCCCCTTTTTTTTTTGAACACACCAGAGGCAACTGAGCAGGTAGCCCCCCGCCCTACCTACTGCTGTCTAGAGGGAAGCGCTTCGCCTTAGACCAGGTGCCAGGTGCCAGATATCTGCTGCAAACCACAGGCGTCTTCCGCCTCAGACTCCTCATCGCTCGCTCTGTGCCATACCATTGCATATCGACCATTGCCAGCTGGTGGGGCGAAAACGGATCAGGGAAATCAATGGGTGGTCGCAGCGGGATCTCCTGTCCCACCGTGGTCCAGTCTCTGAAGCTGATAGAATAATCTCTCCTGAGCTCGTCTTGTTGGCATTCCTGAGCAGGTGCGCCATCCCATTGGACAGAGGCAATCCAGCCCCCCTTCTCACTTCCCAACCAATCCCCCGAGAATTGCCGAATTGCTTGTTTTATGTCTTTGGGTGTCTGAAACAAATCCAATTGGTTTTTTATTTTTGCCACTGTGCCTTGAGTTCTTGTTGAATGAACTGTTTTATCATGTTTGTTACTTCCTCCCCAGCTATATGGACCCCCTCTATTGCAAGAATACAACGTTTTCTCCAGAGGGTCCACATGACAGCTCTCCTTCCCAACTTGAACATGTTGTTTTCAAAAGTGTTGTCAGTGGGAGAGGACCATGTTTCGCACAATATCGCTCTCCAGTCCCATGGCCAGTTGGAACCGGTGGCTAACTGTGTCCAAATTCTATCCCACCATGTAAGCACGGCTCCCGGACACTGCATGAATATGTGCTCTATAGTTTCCAGGATTCTGCGGGAGGGGAAGGCGGTGTGGCACGACTTACACCATGGTAGCGCCCGTCCCTTCTGCTCCAGATATGTGCGGTCGATCAGCCAATCGTTGGTGGGTAGGCAGCGGTGTTCTATCTGCCATTGTAGCGAGGCCGTCTTCGCTGGCCTGGACTTTGTGGTGGAGAACCATCGGATAGAACGAATTGCTTCAATTCCTATATTCAGGTGAGACCTCCATCGGTCCTTCACTTTTTCTTTTATATTCACTTTCAGTCACAGCTGCCGGTAGGTGGCCTTCACCGTCAAGGTGTACAACTTCATGTTGTCCCCATTTCTGCGTTTCCGCTGGGGAGACCACTGCCACTCCTCGGGATCAATTGGGAGTTCCGCCATGGGTGTGTCTGGCTGATATGCGATCCACGCCTCTTTGCCCTGTATCACACGGATCCTGTGCAGGTCAGAGTTCCTCCACCATCTCATCACTTCCGGGGTGTAGCGGGTGAGCGTGTTGTTCTTGCCAATGTGGAAGAGAGCGACCAGGGCTTCGTCTGCACGCACCTCTACCATGTTGCCTATGCTCTCCTGATCGCCCGGGGCTGCTACCCAATCCCCTTCTGCCAGCCGCGGTCCTCTACGCAGGATACGAACCTAGTCTAGGGGGATGACAAAGATCAAGGTTTCAATGTGTTCCTCCACTTTATGACAATATTTGAGTGTGGCCCTGCGTTGTTGTGCACTCTTCCAGCCTCCCGCTTGTGTGTCCCATATATCTTTAATTTTGGTTATCCCTTTTTTTACCCAGTTGTTCCATGGGGTGCCTGAACTGCAGTACACTCTACTGTTCCGGCCTGTTATCCATCTATTTCCGAAGAGGGGTTGGCGTGCCACCTCTTCCCATCTGGTTGGTGGGGGTTTATCGGGCAGCGGGAGTTGTCGCCAGGCGTGTAGAACTCGGGTCCAGAAGTCATCCCTGGCCAGATCCGGACGGGAACGGGGTATTGTCCAGTAAAGGTCCTCCAGCCAGGTTAGTTGATTGACTCCCTGCGGTGTCTGCGGGGCAAGCCTAGCTATTTGTTCCAGGGCAAGGGCATGCCGTGGAAGGCGTTGAGTGAATAACAGTCTCCGGATCCATTGAATTGTTAATGCCTTGATTTGAGTGTCTGGGTCCAAGATCCCTAGGCCTCCTTTGTCTTTAGGTTGTATCACCGAGCTCCAGGCTACCCTGCTGATAACATTTGAAAGTTCTCCGTTTCCTCTCCATAGCAAGGTTGTTACCTGTTGCTTAAGTGCCCGAATGGACTCCTTGTTGAGGGCCCAAACTGCCGATTTATACCAGAGGGCCGCCAATACCATGCTATTGATTGCCAATGCCGTATGACGGTCTTTCCAGTGGGCTAGTTTCTCTAGAGCGGGCTTCAGAATCCATCCGTCGTTCGATGCGGGCCTGCCCAGTGCCGTTAGCATGATTCCCAGCACCCTGACCGGGGCCGTGTCCGGCAGCCACTTGACCTGCGGAAACTCGGGGGGGAGGACCCCTTGGTGGTGGATCCACCAGCCAGGGTCTTGTTCCCCCAGTTAACTGTCATGTTTGAAACTGTTGTAAATCGCTCGAACAACCGCCTGATCTCTTCCATGTTTGTTGTGGTTGCGTCGACCATGAGTGTCAGATCGTCCGCGAACATTGAGTAGATCGGGATTGCTTCTTCCGGGATGGAAGAGATCTGCAATTTTTTCAGGTCTTTGTTAGTTCGGAGATTTGCTGCGAATCCCTCCATCACTATTATGAACAGGAAGGGTGCCAGAGGGTCCCCCTTACGGATCGACCGCTGCAGTGGGAAGGGTGGTGCTATCCTTCCATTGACTTGAACGCACGTGGTTGCGTTATGATGCAGAACCGCAATCCAACGGCGGAAGACTGACCCTATGTTCATTTTTTCCATACATTTGTCCAGGAATAGCCAGTCCACATGGTCGTAAGCTTTTTCGAAATCTATGAAAACCACCGCAGCATTTTGTTTGTCCTGTCTTGTCAGTTTAAGCAGTTCATTAACTAATAGTATGTTATCCTGGATCCTGCGGCCTTTGATGAACCCAGTTTGCATCGGATGGATAATATCTTCCAGAACCGGGAGCAGTCGGTTTGCTAGGGCCTTTGCTAACATTTTATAGACGACTGTAAGCAAGGTTATTGGCCTATAGTTTCGGATGTCCATCTTATCCCCCTGTTTGTATAACAAAGTGAGAACACCCTGACCCACCAACTCCCCCATTATCCCTGTTTCCCACACCTGCTGATAGAACTCCATGAGATCCGGGGCCAGCTGCGTCCAGAAGGTTTCCCAGAATTCCTTTGGGAACCCATCGATGCCCGACGTCTTCTCTTCTTCCATTTGCATCATCGCCATCCATATCTCCTCCTTGGACAGGGGACGGTCCAGGTCTATTTTTTGCGGGCCTGTCAGGGTCTTCTCTAGTGGAGTCAAGAAATCTGCAATATCTTTCTCCCTGGCGTTTCTTTTCTGCCGGACGCACCTTGAGGTGAACAGATCTTGGAAGAATGATCGTGCTATTTGTGTGCAGTGGGGGGTGGAGGTGACAATGTCTTGGTGTCCAGTTTGTGGATCGTATAATGCTTCGATGGTGGTTCTGTGTGAGTGCACTCTGGCCATGCTAAAAAAATTCCTATCCATTGTTCCTTCTGTTTGGTATTGTGTCAGTCGTCCTCTTATTCGTATCCCGTCCCAGCGTTGCGTGGCGAAAGCCTGAAGTCAGTTTCTGAGCGTTTGAATCTCTGAGTATTCTTCTGTTTGCAAATTTTGGTTGTCGTTAGGCTGGTCCTGGTGCTCAAGTTGTTGCAGCTGCTGGTTTAGTTCCATCTCCTGTTGATGTTTCTTGGCTGCCAATAGTTTAGAGTATTCTTGACATTTTTTACCCAGATAAAACAGCCCGTTGTTGCAGTCTATTGCCTATTGGAAATGTTGTTTTTGCATGTGCCAGTATTTCCAGCAGTCCGCGATGTAGCTGTGAAAGGTTTTTTGTTTCAAAATGCAAGTGTTGAGCTTGTAGAAGCCCGGTCCCCAGTCTGGTTTCTTTCGAAAGGATAGAGTAACCGTGCACATTTTATGGTCAAGGCCCGGGTATGGACTTGCAGGCAAGATCGTTGCTAAAAGCAGCGATCCCCCCATGTCTTCCGAGATGAGAATTAGATCAATCCTGGATTTTGTCTGACTTTCCATACCGGTCTTCCGTTGACATGAGTAGAATCTTGTGTCCGGGTTCAGTTTCCGGAAGGAGTCGAAGATTTTCAGGGAGAGACATAAGTCGTTTATCATCYGCTCATCCTCCTCCACATACACCGGGGCAGGGGAGGGGATCCGCCATCTATCCATCCATCGATCCGGGGCTGCATTGTAGTCCCCTGCAATAATGACCGGGATTCCTTCCGGTATCTGTGCTTTGATGTTCTCAAAGAAGATTCTTCTCTCCCTTGCCGTGTTGGGGGCGTAGATACACACTATGCATACGATTTCGATTTCCAGTGTGACCAGTATAGACACCCACCTGCCTTCCTCTTGGTCTATCACCCAGTGGACCGGGTCTGCCCTGGACTCCGGGGGGATCCAGATGGCTACCTCTGCAGTTCCAGGTTTCGGGGCATGGGCCCTGAAGGCTTGGTATGGCCAGATCATCTTGTGGGTGCGGTTGTGCTCTGGGGTGTCCATCATGTGTGTTTCCTAGATACAGACGATGTCTGGCCAGTTTCTCCCCCCCACTCCTTTCATCAAGTCCCAGATTGCATTTTGTTTTTCTGGTTTACAGGAGGCCAGGCCGTTCACATTCAACGAGCGCAAGTCCATGTCGGCCGCTCTCCTGCATTGGTTCCAAATACGGTCTTTCCCATACACTGCCCTGACCGGGTCTATCTTGTTGGCACTATTCATTATACCCTTCGACTTATATCTGAGTTTGCGTGTATATATATATATTTACAGGCGGGACCACGGTAAATGGTCCCAGTCCCAATCTTGGCTCTGTCTAAGGAGCGCACATAAACATTTATCGACATCTTGTTCAGTCCAAGTATCGCTGCGTCCAATCTTGACCGTTCGCAAATTCAACATTTGGGCGCGGGTGTGTCATGTCATGCCCGCGTCTTTGATCGGGTCGTATCTTATATAGATGTCCCTCTGCGTTATTTTTGTGGGGCCTGTTGTGATCATAGCCAGGGCCTGCGCTCCTGGCGGCAGGGATCCAGTAATGTGGGATTCCAGTTCTAGTTGTACAATTTCTGTCGCCACCTCAGATTGGCTGTTTTGTGGCGTAGCCCAAAAGGACGACCACCCTTGTAGCGTCGCGGCCCCCCGTTTGCCATTCCCTTCCGGGAGCAGCCCCACCTCCTATTTCAGTTCCTCTTCCGCACTAGGATGAGCAGCATGGCGTTTTGCGACAGCGGGCCAGAATCACACCCCATCTCAACTAGATGCCTGAGCTTTCTTTTCCGCACCAGATCTAGTGGCGCGTTCTAATTGGGGTCAGGGGGATCCGGGTCCGGTGGTGGGGCTGGTTGTATTTCCAGGGGGTCTTGTGTTCTTCGTTTGTGATCGTTCTCTACCTCGGCCCTGTCTCCATCCTGTTCTGTTTTTGTTGGTGTCGCTGGTCGTGGCAGCTGGAATCGTGCGAATACTATTGTCGTTAGTCTGTGTCAAGCCTCCGTCCACCTCACCCGAGATTGCAGACCCTTTTCCAGTACGTTCTTAAGAGAGGTGCTCGTGTCCAGCATTGGAAACAATTCTAAGTATGTTTTGTCCCAGAATTCATCTGTGAGGGGGCCATGTTTTGCTTTCAAATTCCCCATCAGCCATTCTGCAATGGCTATCAGTTTTTGTTCCGTTGGTAGGTGTTGTGGCGGTGCCCCTTCTTCCTCGCCTTCCGGTTTTTGTTCCATGTCTAATCCCGCGGGCGCCGTACTAACGTTACCCGGAAGAGGATCGACTTCCATTGGTTCTGTGTCGAAAGCTGCGTGGAAGGGGTCAATGTCCATCATCGATCCGGTCTAGGCGTTCCTTTCTGCTGTGCCCCTCTCCTCCCCCTGTGGCCCTGGCTCCACTTCCATCCCTCCCGCTTCCTCCTGTCCCCCCTGTTGCCCCTCTGCTCCATCGTGTGTTGGCACCACCTCCATGTCCCCCGCCTCCACCCCTCCCTCTGGCTGCCCCTCTGCTCGCTCA